TATCCACATTCAGTCCTTGCACATGTTGGAATTTTCTCTCCAAGTGTTCTCATCTGCTAAATGTTAAGAAACTCCGTGGCAGGTTGCTTAATACTGAATATGCCCTAGAGCCCTTGGGTTATGCATGTTTTATTAATGGAGCCGTCCCACAAGCTTTAGTGCCACAGGCCCACCTAGTCGCACATCTTGGTTTGCTATGATGACATCCTAACTTTTGCCACTCTAGGGCCTTTTTAAGCCATGCTTCGTGTTGGCCAGACTGATCTTTGTGCTGCTTTACTTAGTAGTTAGTTGAGTTTCAGTGACACCTAACCTTCCCACAGAGTCATAGCTCTCCAGCTGCTGTGTTGTATGCACACCTCCCACTGCTCTCAGTTGCTGTGTTTCATTACATTGACCTATTCTCTTAACCACAACCATGACTATTCCTGTTTATTCCTGTTTTGCTCTTTACACTGCTTTTTCTTCCTCCTGGTCAGTAACTAATGAGTTCTTACATTTCAGAGTCGCTGTGTAGTAGAGCTCTCCAACTTCAATAGCTCTAGATTCACTCATATCTCGCCTTCATAGCGCTTTTCACTGTAGAAATCAGATGTGTGTGTTGGGGAATATTATTTTCAAGTATATGATTTTGTTTATACTGCATTTGTTTAACTCTATGAAACTGTGTTACTGTGCCTGTCTAAAACAGTGGATGGTCTAATAAAGAGCTGAACAGCCAATAGTGAGGCAGGAGCAAGAATAGATGGGGCTGCCAGGCAGAGAAAATAAATAGAAGCAGAGGCGAGGAAGGAGAGAACAAGAGGAGACTGTCAGGGGCCAGCCACCCAGCTACACAGCCAGCCACGGATTAAGAGTGGAAGTAAGGTATACAGAAATAGAGAAAGATAAGAGCCCAGAGGGAAAAGGTAGATGGGTTAATTAAAGAAAAACTGGCAAGAAACAAGCCAAGATAAAGCTCAGAATTCGTAATTAATTGTGATTTATTTGGAAGCTGGGTGATAGGCCCCCCAAAAAGCAAAAAGAGTAAAACATCACACAACACACATGTCTCTCTTTTCATTGGGAGGAGGGGCACATGTGTGCATGTGAAGGTCAGAGGACAGCTTTCAGGTGTTGATTCTTTCCTTCCATGGTTCCACGGACCAGCTGAGATTATGAGGCTTGCATGGCAAGAGCTCTTATCTGTGAGCTAACTTGTAGACCCTTTTTAAAATTTCTTTCTATACATTAGAATGTGAGCTACAAGAGGGCAGTGTGTGATGTTTCAGCTGTTGAAATCCTAGCCCCTGAAACTGCATGGCAGTGCTGCAGGCTGTCAGCAAGTATATATTATCGTTGCAGACATATATGTTTAGTCAGCAATACATTCATAGTGCAGAATGCACATACATATTTCATAGCAGTAGACAATTATAATGGTGTTTTCTTTTGATTTAATATATTAACAGAACCGGAAAGGATGTATCTCAGAAGTGTTCTCCAGTAGTGACAGCACCATCGGAGACTTGTCTGTGAAGACCTTACAGTTAGTACCAAGTTCATTATTGTTTCTAGGAAATTGATATCATTTGTCTTTACAGTCTGAGGCTTTTTTTTTTGGAAGTATACTTAAGAGAATTTGATATTAAAATACTGTTCTATGTGGAAAGTTAGAGCTTTCTTTTTCTACTGTTTAGTTGCTTTAATGGCTAAGTTAGAAACTCACCAAAGCTTTAAACTGTTTTCTTTCAGTTGTTTTATTTGTTTGTTTGTTTTATTATTTTGTACATCATGTTATCATTCTTGTAAGCAGTCATTATTAAAACTAATATTTTTTTCAGGCCTAAAAACTGTCCAGTTTATTGGGACATGGAGTGGGAAGAGTGAACTATTATTTTTAATACCTCTGTCTGGTTGTTCAGTTCTGATTCAGATGCCCTCTTTCCCTTCTCTTCGATTATGTATGTTTTATGTTCTTTTGTGAACTATTGAGATTTAATTATATATACCAAAATACACAGCTCTTTCTTATTAAAATTGTTTTCATGCGATATATTTTAATCATTTACCTCTCATCCAGCTCCTAGATCCTCCCTTCTCAAACGACTTTATGTCCATTCTCTCAAGAGGGGACAAAACACAAAACAAAAATGAAAAGCAGAATAGTCAAAAGAACAATAAGACAAAAAAAAAAAGGAAAAAGGAAAAGAAAGAAATGCTCAATAAAACATCCACAGAAATACCACTGAGCCTGTTTTGTATTGGCCTGTTCTGGAGTGTAGTTGACAGACACAGTGAGACTTCATTGGAGAAAACTGATTTTCTCTTTGCCAGGATGAACTCTCCAGCTCTTAATTATACCATTTTGTGAGTCTGACTAACATATATAGCTATAGATCCAAAACTTGGGAGGCTGATGCAGGAGAATAGTAATTCAAGATGGCCTGGGCTACGTGGCTAAACCTTGGCTCATAACAAACAAAAAACTAGAAAAGCTACCGAATATGGCCTCAGTCTGGGCGGCGCTAGCACATTGGGGCTGCCCATGTGCTGTGGATGTGGCGGTGTTCTTGGCCTGCACCACTATGCCAGGAGTCACTCCTCCCCCAGCTGTGAGGACAAATTGCTTCCAGATCGTGGCAGTTAGCCTCAAGGGTGGACTGCCTGCCAAAGGTGGTGCTTTGTCATCCTCACATGGAGCCATTAGTACTAGAAAGTTCCAGCTGCACACATCACTATTAAACTTCTGGAGTTTTGAAACGGTGGGATTTTAAGACCCAACAAATGAAGTTAGATGAGGTGAGGTAATCAGATTGTTATTAGACTTAAAAAAAATCAGTAGTTCCCTCTGCTTTTATTACAAAACCTGTATTTTAATTATTATAAAGTGGAAAATTTTTACAAAGAGTAAAATTACAAATTGTCAATACAAGTTTTGAGTAGAAGAAAATTTGGTTAATGAAGTAAACTAGAATTCAGGTTTCAAAGAAAACAAAGGGGGCTACAATTTCAGAAGAATCTATAGTTGATACCATTAAAGCATTGTATCATCACCAAACGATAGCTCCCCTCGTGATATCAGGTCCTAAAGAGCTGAGTGACCAAACTTCATTCTTAAAAACTTTGAGGCAGTTTGGATTGGTTGCTCCTTCTGTGACCTGGAGTTGGGTTAAATGCCAGGTGTCGTGAGCAGCGTTTTGTTTCCTGTGATGGGGAACAAGGATTTGTAGATTTGGACTGGAATTGTGAAATGATATCACAAGCTTATAGCCTTTGGGAAAATGTTGAATTTGGGGTTTTCTTTTTATATAATTGCTAAGATTTCTGTTTCTTATTCTTTAAGGCAAATTGTTCTTAAAGAAAATGACTGGCCTTTCGAAACCAAAGGTAAGTTGGTTAGAAAATCTAAAAATACTGATCTTTGTGAATAAGTAACCTAATTACATGTTTTTTCATTTTCTTCTTTCTTTTTAACTTTTAAGTCTGTTTATCTGTTATTCTGCTCAAAGAACCTTGATCTTACATAGACTGATAGGGGTTAAAAGAGTCCATCAAAGCTGAGTGGTGGCTTTATACCTATGACCTCAGCACTCAGGGGGTGAGGAAGTATCCTAGTTAGACTCACTAGTACTGTGATGAAATACCATTACCAAAAGCAGCTTGGTGAGGAAAGGGTTTATTTTGTTCACAGTTCCATATAACAGTTCATCAGCAAACACAGGACAGGAGGTAATGCAGAGGCCATGGAGGGAGCTGCTTACTGGCTTGCTCCTCGTGGCTTGTTCAGCCCGTTTTCTTCTTGAAACCAGGACCACCAGCCCAGGGGTGGCCACACCCACAATGGTCTGGGCCCTCCCACATATAGCACTAATAGAGAAAATGCCCTATAGGCTTACCTACAACCTGATCTTATGGAGGCATTTTCTCAGTGAAGGCTCCCCACTTTCAGATGACTCTAGCTTGTCTCAAGATGACAAAGTTAGCCAGCACAGTAAGGCAGTGGGGTCAAGTTCAAGGCCATCTGAATACATAGTTGAGACCCTGTCAGGAAAAACAACAGCAACACACCTATTCATTGTGCCAAATCAATAAGGAGGAATTTTAGTTGTATCTGTAGCTGCAATCAACTGCTATGTGCTACTGTAGCCCAGGAGTGTAATCCATTTTCTTTAGCCACAGAGAAGTAAAGGATCTTACTAGAAGTGACTGAGGGGAGCATTCGCACCTAGGACCATACTACTTTGTACTAAGCGTCATAAAATGGATGGAATTTGAGTAAGGAAAACCAGGTAAAAACCCTGTTTTTCCTATAAATACAGATAATTATCTGAAAGATCTAATTAACAATTATCCAAATAATTTCAAAAAAATAACTTCTACTTTCTTGGTATATTTTCTCATTTCAGAATTTGAAGTTCTCTTCTGTGCTTACAGATTAAACAGCGAGGCTAGTACTTTTTCTTTAAGCCTTTGAACCAGAAGCACATAAAACCTTACTTATAATATATGTATAATGAGAATATATTTGCTTATGTTGGGGAGGTTGTTTTCTTCTTTTGTGACAGGGTCTCACATATGTAGACCTGACTTTGAACTCAAAAGGATCCTCTGCCTTCTGAGTGCTGGGATTAAAGGGTTCTTCTTTTATTTTGAGACAGTGTCTCATTCTGTGGCCCAGGCAATCCTAGAGCTGTGTGGCACATGCTGGACCTCACTTGATCCTCCTGCATGAGCTCCCTCATATGACATCATTCCTACAGTATTTTTAAATGTTGATATAAGCTATTGATTATTCAATGATGAGTAAAAAGCTGGTGATATTGAACTTTCTGTGTTTTTAATTTACTTATAGTAAATATAGGGAAGCTATTGAATAACTGCTGCAACTTTCAATTCTAATGTTCTTGGAATGTATATTTCTAAAGCATAACATTGTTTCCCTCATTTGTTTCTTAAATATTCAGAACCAAGTTCTACTGTTCCTTCAGACACGCTGGGAAGTGATTTTGATTCAGGTCAAGTCGAGCCTAATGATGACATCTTACCTAAGACTGTGTCTTTCCGTCGCCACTTAAAGAAAGATTTTAGTAATGTAAGTTGCTCCACTGCTTTGGAGGACTGTGAAGCCAGTCATTGGGTGAGACAGTCTTTGGAAGTTAGAAGAAGTGGGTGTAAAGACCCAACTAAAACTCTGCACAAACTTGAAAATGTAGAACAAAGTGTTTGTCTGTGGAACAAGGACCAAATTAACTTATCCCCTAGACTGACTTACTCAGGAAAGAATGCTAAAACAAAAGTCATTTTACCATCTGAACGTGAACAAACAGAAAGTAAGCATCAACGTGCACAGAAAAGAGTAGAGCGAAGAACCAACCAGAAATGCAAATCAAAATCCTCACTGAGGTGTAAGGGCAAGAAAAGTAAAGATAAGCACACTTTACAACCCACAAAATTGGATAGGTCTATTGGTTCCAGTGACGCTTATGATTTTAATGTGGAAGAGCGTGTTCATCTCACCCCTTTCCGACAAAAAATGAGCAATGGCTCCAGTGAAGAAATTAACAGTGGTGACCAGGAAGGGAGTGCTCTCGATCTGAGTGCCTCTGAGGATGAGTCCGATGACATCTACCTGCCTCCATGCAAGCACTTGATAGACCACACCAGAGAATCCGACAGACCAATCACCAGGCCTCGGCCTAAAAGAGAATTCAAGTATACAGATGAAAAAGATGAGGAGAAGACTCTGCCAACCAGAACTCCTACCGGTAAGCAGTGTGCTTATTTGCCTGAGTTTTGAATGTTTCTGCTAAATGGTTGCCCCAATGCTGATGATTCTTAGATACTGTACTGCCATCTGTTTCTCTGGGGAGTCTAGAGACTTTCCATATGTGTTCTCTGTAAAGGAAGTTATAACCTGATAAAACAGTAGGGGTAGAAAATGGAAACATGGCTCTGTTATTCTGGCTTACTTGAAGCAAATAGGAATCTTACAGGAGTATTACTTCTCAGGGTCTGATTCCTATTGAAGAGGAGGCTTTTGAGCAGGGTAAGGAGAGGACAGGTTATGGTTGGATTGAATTAAAAGATCTTTACACTTGTGATCACCTGAAAAATGAAAAAGAAAAAACTCATTTTAATGAACTTATATATTTAGTTTAACAGGAAATTTGACTTATTTTTCTAGTTGAAGGTGAACTTATGAGAGAAAGAAGTTCTTTTCTCATCTGCTGAAAACCAGAAACCCCTGCATTTATTTTATCAAAGTGGTTCAGTGTTAGTCATCAGCCTACACCTACTCACAAAGACTTCGTGGAGAGTTTTGATTCCTGTGGCAATAGCTCCATGCTGTCAGGTCCTGTCATCTTCAGAATGTTGTCACATTGTAGCAGCTCAGTCGGCATGCTTGATTTGCTTTACTGGGATCTTAGAGCCTGAAACAATGAATTAACTTTCCTAGTTAAGCAGCTGAACAGTATAGCTTGTAAAAATATGTTTTAAAACTATGTATCCTGAGAATCTGCTTTCAGTAGCTATATTTCTCTTTTTCTTAATAAATGTTTTGCTCTACTTTAAATAAAAATACTTTAATGATAGAATAAGTTGAGCAGGGTTGGCAAACTTGATAATTATTGAAATTGAGTAACATGGGCATAATTGAACTGTTTGTTATCTCTTTTTGTGTTCTTTCGAAAACAATAAGGTTTCACAAAGAACAAAAGCACTTAAATAGTTTAATCCCAGACTTCTATCAGCATCATTACCTGGAAACAGCCATAATCCCAGGTTCTGTCCTGTCCCTTGAGTTAGAATTTGAGTGTCTTTATAAGTTCCCCTGGGGGTTTATAAACACGCATGGTGTAGGAAACATTACTCTACACTGGAACAGCTGGTCTAACCCTGTTGCCTGGAGGTAGTCTGCATTAATACTGGATCGGTTGTTTGTTTGTGGTGACAGGAGAGTGTCTGACACCCAGATGTTCTGTAGTTAAAAACCTCTGTTGGAGAAGATTGTCTTTTAGTCTTCTCACTATGTGTATGGTGCCTGCCTCCCAAATAAATGTAGCTTTGAGATGATGGAGGACCTGGGTGTTAATGATGGGAAAGACATCTGGATTTTTGTAACATTAGCACCAGGAGGAACACGTTTTATCCTGGTCTTCATGGTCTGATTGAGAGTTGTTGTATGTTTAATGACTTTGTGGTCAGTGGTCTCCAACAGTGTCACAGACTTTGGTGTGGACTGGGACAGGAACCTTGGTGATTCTAAGGATTAAAGTGTAACTAAAATGCAGTTTCTTTAAACCAACTCATAACATCTGAGCTATTGGGGAAGAAAGTTACATTTTAGTAAATAGTTCTGTTATAGCTAACAGTTCTTTACATCTACCATAGTTTCTACATTATCTGGCTTTAAAAAAAAGAAAAAAAAACAAGAGGAAGTTTTATAGATGGAAGTTTCTGTCCCACCCAGTCCCACAGCCATTCAGTCCCAACAACACACACAGAGACTTATATTAATTGTAAACTGGTTGGCTTATTATTATTATTATTATTATTATTATTATTATCATTAAACATGGGCTTATTATTAACTAAATCTTTCAACTTAAATTAACCCATAATTCTTATCTATGTTTAGCCACATGACTTGGTACCTTACTCAGTGAGGCATTCTTATCTTGCTTCCTTTGCCTCTGGATGGTGACTGCAGACTGAGCCTTTCCTCTTCCCAGAATTCTCCTAGTCTGGTCGTCCCTCCTCCTGGTTGCCCTTCCGGCCTGACTGCCAGTCAGCGTTTTATTAAATCAATGAAAGTGACAAATCTTTAAAGGGTACAAGAGCTTTATCCCACAGCAGAGTTTGTAAAGCATAGATCATCAAGTGCCAGGTATTTTGTGTGTTTAAAAATATGTAATTGACCATAGTTTTATTTCTATGATTTGTATCCCTTGGGTTCATATTCAATAAACACTATATTGTAGGTATGCCATGCAAGAATCAAAACTTACCTGGTTGTAGCCTGAAGGATGTCACCAATATCCTGCTGTCTCCTGTAGTGAAAATCAGGAAACTTTCTCTGTCTCCAAAAAGGCATGAGGATAGCCCAGCCGTGCCTCTGCCTAAGCGCAAGTGCACCACCATCACCAGCTATAAGGAGCCAACACTCGCTTCGTGAGTATTGTGTGGACTCATCTGTAACGACTCTTATGGAAGGGCTGAAGAAGGGCTGAAGTCGTGAGTGGATTGTTTCTGAGGACTAGGACTGGCCTATTGTTATAATAGTCCTGTGCTGAATATAATTCTGCTATATTTGTAATCATACCTGAAATCTCTTTTTTACTTATAGGAAATTGAGAAGAGGGGACCCTTTCACAGACTTGTGTTTCTTGGATTCTCCTATTTTCAAGCAAAAAAAGGATATGAGACGTCCTAAAAGAAGTACAAAGCACACACAGTAACTCCTTTGGTTGGATGCTATCAAAGAGGATCCTTCTCTGTTGCCTGATAGACTCTGTGAGGCAGTGTGCAGTGGGCAGGACCATCCTTTATCAACCTCTGGGTCAGGACCTATACTTTGTAATTCTGTGGATTGCTACCAGCATCTAAAATTTCTCCAGCAGGGGAATTTCAGAGTTGAAATTTTATAAAGATAGGATGTGGATCTTTCATGAATCCTTGACCATAAGACATACCATAAGTTGCTGAGAATCCCTTATTCTACCATCATATTGAGTCTTTGGGTAAACTGTATTTGGAATCACGATTAAGAGAATTGGTAGTTTTGGTTCTAGGATTAGGTTGTGAACTCTGTGTGTGACATCATTCTTCATCAGAATCAACATGTCATGGACCTCAGGCTAGCCCTTCATGTTGTCAGAAGTCTACAAGTATAAATATGTGACTAGTAAGTTTCTGGATTTGATCTATATATATAATGAAATGATTGAACTTCTGCAGTTGTGTATATATTTCTTTAAACTGAAATCACTATAAGTGGTCCATTTTTAAAGACCACTGAAGTGTGGCCATTGTGGTGGCCACAGTATAATATAAAGTCTGACTGTACATAAGGGTGGCCATTGTGTTTCCCTTCTACTCTTAACTGTCAAGTAACCTTGATTATCTTCCTTTCTGGCCTTAACCACTCCCATCTTGTTTCCTCATCTGTTGTCCCTGTCAACTTTCCCCTCTCTTCACATTAGATTGTCTTAATCAACCACAAACCAAGACATTTCAGTTTGGGGCTCAGTAGTCAACACCTGTGTCATATGGGCAAGGCCTAGGAATAAGTCCCACTGCAAACAACAGAAGGGCCTAGTGTTCATCTCAGACTGTCCACGATAACTTCCAGCAGTCCGTTCAGTCACGCTGAGAGCTCTTCTCTGTTGCTCGTGTGCAGCCCACTCTCCCATTACAGTCACATTTCCAGCCACTCTTCTATTTCAGCACCGAAGACAGAGCCCAAGGTCCTGTTTGTGGAAGGAGCACAGCCACAGCAGTCTAGAGCCACGCTGTTTATCTTTTGTAATGTCATAGTACCTCCAGGGCGACCATTTTACCTAAAAATAAATACAAGTCCACTTTCATCTCAGTGGGCCTCATGTGGCTGTGATTACCACAGTGCTGCCTACCCAGAGGTAGACTGTATCCTGGTCCACACCAAGCAAACTGGCTTGTGGGCCATATTTCATACAAGCTAAGTTTAGTTTTTATGTATTTAAAAACTCAAAAACATGAGATTCCATCTTACAACTGTAAGAATGGCCAAGATCAAAAACACTGATGACAACTTATGCTGGAGAGGTTGTGGGGAAAAGGGAATACTTCTGCATTGCTTGCTAAGGGGAATGCCAGCTGGTACAGCCCCTTTGGATATCAGTGTGGCGATTTCTCAGAAAATTAGGAAACAACCTTCCTCAAGACTCAGTAGTACCACTTTTGGGTATATATCCAAAGGATGCTCAATTGTGGCACAAGGACATGTGGTCAACTATGTTCATAGCAGCTTTGTTTGTCATAGCCAGAACCTGGAAACAACAGCGTAAATGCCCCTCAACCGAGGAATGGATAAGGAAAATGTTGTACATTTACACAATGGAGTACTACAAAGCAGAAAAAATAATGACATCTTGAGTTTTGCAGGAAAATGGATGGAGCTAGAAAACATTATTATGAGTGAGGTAACCCAGACATAGAAAGACAGTTATCACATGTACTCACTCATAGGTGGTTTTTAAACATAAAGCAAAGAAAATCAGCCTACAAACCACAACCCCAGAGAACTGAGACAACAATGAGGACACTAAGAAAGACTTAACATAGATCTAATCTACATGGGACGTAGAAAACGACAAACTCTCCTGAGTAAATTAGGAGCATGGAGACCTTGGGGGAGGGTTGATGGCAGAGAAAAATGTAGAGCTCAATGAAAATAAAAAAAAAAAATTAAAAAAAAAGCAGAACAAAAAAAGTCAAAAACAAACATTTGGATTAAATTTGCTAGTTAGCCTGCGGAACCCCAGCTATTTATACCCTGGCTCATTTTCAAAATTTTTTTCCATGGCCTGTTATGATGCAGCATACCTATAATCTCAGCACTGTGGAGGTTGAGGCAGGAAGATCCTGTTTTATACAAGCTGTGTTACATTGTTGGGACCATTTGGATCCTGGCCTCCAGTTGCTCTCCCCCACTAGTGACCTTTTCTTGGCCTTCTGATTTGAGCTTCTGAGAGCTGTGTCCAGCTCTGCTTCCTGAGCAGGTGTTGCCTTGTCCTTGATTGAGGATCAGGGGGGTGAAGTTTTCACCTGTTGGCCCACCTGACTGTGTTGGGGATAAAAGTCTCCGTGGTACTATTCAATAAAGGGCTTCTTTTACCAGTGACTAGAGGGATGTGTGTGTTTAATCCTGACATCCTTCGTTTGGGTTTTGGTTCCAGGCCTGGCACTACATAATCTCGAAAAATCAAAAACCATTTTTCTACTTTCTTCTTTAGACACCTACATGTTTATTGGAAAGATCTTTGTGTTGTATCAGCCTTGACCCCCGCTCCATGCGGTCACTGTTATCTTTCAAGTTTTAGTACGAGCACCGGTCACTGTTACCTTAAAACTACTATTTGACTTCTAGTCTTTCTCATGTTTCTGTATTCCCGATGCAGTATTTGTTTATAGGCTGTTAAGGGTTTTGTGTCAACATTTTTATCTGATATGCACTGTATTTTATATATCTATTGTATATACTGATTTATAATTGACTTGTTTGAGACTTACCATGTTGGTAGATATAGAATACAATATCTTAGAAATAAACCAGACTTAGCGCCTCTTTTGAGAAATAGTTACCACTTTGTTATTTTAAAAATTGCAACTGCAATTAATATTCTTTACATGTCCAGGGCCTTCTGTAAAGGCCAGGCTTCCTTCATGATGTTCAGCCAGGTCTTCTAACACATCTGCTTACACCCTAACCTCACATTAATCTCTTAGCTCTAAATTCCCTGGTGTTCTGTCCCTTCTCCAATGTATTTCATTACTTCAGTACTTCATTACTTTGTAAAAGGTGTCAAGAGGATCAAGTCTAGTTGGGTGTGGTGCTCAAGGAAGCAAAGGCAGGGGGATCTCTGAGTTTGAGGCCAGCCTGGTCTATAGAGCAAGTGCCAGGACAGTCAGTGTTACCCAGACAAACCCTGTCTTCGAAACCCATCCCCCAGAAGAGAGATTGAGAGAAAAAAGTAGCAATTCTACAAAGGGCCATGTGTTTATTATTAATAGATGGAAGAAACTAAAATATATACTTCAGCTTTATGTTTCTAGACAAGATGGAGAGCTGTAACTTGGAGAATTCATTCAGTGTGCCAGGTGGGCCACAACGGGCTCTTGGCATTAAATCCTGTTCAGTAATGGTCAATTACTGAATAAAAAGTATCTGCCAGAGATGTAGAATGGTAGAGTATGTGTGGGAGCCTGGGCTTCAAAACCCAACACCACAGCAAAAGAGTAAAACTAACATGGAGGTCAACTGTGTAATTTATAAATAATAAACAAATAAATAAAGCCGAGACCTGGAGATGAAAGGACTCAGGCCAGTGAGATGACTTGGTAACAGCACTTGTTAAAAAGACTGATCCACAGAACCCATATGGTAGAAGACCAACTCTACAAAGATGTCTTCTGCCACATGTTTTTTTTTTTTAAAAAAAAATTCACAAGGAGCCACAGGCTTGGTGGTTCAGTTCATGTCTTAATCCCAGTACACAGAAGCATGAGCCAGAGAGTACGAATTTCATGGTCTCATCAAATAGGGCAGGACTCATCTTTGACTAGAAAGGACCATTGAGGGACTTTTCTTCTGCCTCCTTCAGAGCAGTGGTACTGGGTTGGATCCAGCTGTCAAAATTATCACAGCAGTGAGATGGCATAACAGGGGGAGGTGCTTGCTACCAAACCCAATGACTTGAGTTTGAGCCTCTAGAACAGTGGTTCTCAATCTTCGTAATGTTGTGGTGACCCCCCCCCAACAAAAACTATTTCTGTTGCTACTCTATAACTGTTTGCTATGGTTATGAATCATAATGTAAATATCTATGCTTTCCGGTGGTCCTTGGGGGTTGAGAATTACTGCAAAAGCAGCTTCTATTTAATGCCTGTAGAGGAACATCAAGAGTAAGAATGCAAGATAAGCACCAAGAGAAAGGGATGTGTGACAGAACATAGAGTTGTCAAATTACAACACAGACTGCTTCTTAACAATGAGGGTTGGCCTGATTCATTCTGTAAGATCTGGCCGAAAGTGGGTCCCTGTGTGAACATACAGTTCACCCTGAAGAACCATAAGTTTATTAGGCCTACTTACTAAGCATGGGAAAGGAGTTCAGGGGAAGGAGTGTAATTGCCTCGAAGCTCTGCACTCCCAAACATGGAGATTAAAGGCCTGTGTGCACCACCACACCTGGTTAAATTTAGCTATTTCCAGTTATTAGCTGAATAATCACAACAGTGAGGTGGGGGGTGGACTGCAAGGTGGTTCATCCAGCACTTGCTGCCACGTATGACAACCAGAGCTCACAACCCAGATCTTAGACTCATGTGCACACCCCTTGTGCTGGAAACAGGGATGTAGCTGGGCACCTGGAGTTGGTTCATTGGTTAACCAATTTAGCCTAATTGGTAAGCCTAGGTTTAGGGAGATACCTTGCCTCAAAACACAAGGCAGAGCATTAATGAAGAAGACACCCATCACCCACTGGCCTACACACACACACACTGAATAAATGTACAAAAGTGGAGATTTCTTTACACTATATAAGATGGAGAAGTTAGCTTGTGTCGGGTAGGACATTCAGCATCTGTCTCCCCCTTGGGAGAGACTCAACTGTAACATGAAGGGTCCTGTTTGTTTGGGGGGGCGGCTTGTTTGTGTTTTTCTGTCCTGCCCAGTCCCCCCAGCTGTTTAGCCCCAGAGAAAATATCACAGAGGACTCAGTAAGTTATAAAGCTGACTGGCCCTTTAGGTCAGGCTTCTTATTAGTCCTTGTAACTTATATTAATCCATTATCATTATCTATGTTAGCCATAATGGCTCAGAACCTTTTTCAATGGGGCAGATCACATCCTGCTGCTTCGGTGATCTGGGCAGGAGTAGGAGGAATCAACTTCCTCCTCCCCAGAATTCTCCTGCTCTCCTTGCATCATTTCCACTTCCTGTCTGGTTTTCCCACCTACACCTCCTGCCTGGCCAATCAGTGTTTATTTAAAACATGATTGACAGAATACAGACAATTCTCCCGTACCTCTCAACAAAGCATACTTGTAGGTTGGACATGAGTTGACATGACCATCTGCCCCCTCCTCTCCCTCACTGGCACTGGTGGTGAGCCCAGGGTTTTGAGCCCAACAGTTGGTGCACACCTCTCCTACCTGTGCTGCCACGCCTGCCTTTCACACCATTGCTTTTGATACTACAAAGAGCTTAAAGGCCAAAGCCCTGTTCCTGGCTCAGGAAGTCATCCAACATCATGACTACTACTGGGTCCTCACACCCAGATAGGCTATAATTCCTAGAGAGAGTTTTGAGGATGGGAGATGTTCTGAAATCACATGCACTTTGCTCTTTCCTCGTTACTCTGGCAGATATAAAGTGAAATGTTACAAACTATATTTAATTTCTAATAACACTCGTGAATGAATTTTTCTTCAGTGGTGTTTTAGTGAGTGGCACAAAAGGCAGAGAAGTGTCTTTCTCCCGACACTCCAGCAGACTGGATTGTTTTTAACTTTATTTTTAGTTATATGTATGTGTGTATGGATATTTGCATGTGAGTATGTGGAGAACAGGATGTGTATATGTGTGCGCATGTGTGTATATCCATATATCTGCAAGGGTATGGGTGCCCATGGAGAATGGGGTGTGTGTGTGTGTGTGTGTGTGTGTGTGTGTGTGTGCGCGCGCGCACGTGTTTGTATATCCATATATTTGCATGTGAGTATGGGTGCTTGTGGAGAACAGGACGTTTGTGTGTGTGTGTGTGTGTGTGTGTGTGTGTGTGTGTGTGTGTGAATATTTGAACGTGAGTATGTGGAGAAGAGGATATGTATATGTGTGTGTGCATGTGTTTATATTCATATATTTGCAAGTGAGTATGCCTTTGGAGAACAGAGGATGGCATCAGATCTTGAATTACAGGCAGTTAATTATGAGCCATTAGATGTTGCTGCTGGGAATCAACCTGATGTCCTCTGGGAAAATGGGAGGTGTTCTTAACCCTGAGCCTTCTCTCCAGCTCCAGATATAGGGTTTGTTTTGCTTATAAAACTATGACTGCAGCAATTCCAGACATGTTCACGAAAGCTTTTGAGCTCAGGATTTAGGGTAAAGTCCGTGCTCATACCAGCTGACACTGTCCTGTTTAACCTCATACTGTTAGTGGAACAAAACAGAACACCACACAGAATTTTTTAAAATATAATTTAAAATTATTTTGTACCAATACAATATATTAATTTTACAAATGTAAAGTTTTTATCTGCTGTTAAAGCATTTGCAAAAACCACACATTCTACTTCAGCTTTATTGCACAATATCTATAAGAAAATATTAATTTTTAAATTAGAAAACATAAAAATGCTTTCAATATAGAAGAGACCATCTGATTTTAAAGACAATATAAGAATGTCTACCCAGGAAACAGACTTTGACAGGACACCAAGCTGGATAGTCTGAGATACTTAATGCAATCTGTATTATCATTCTTCATTAAAAGTCTGGACACCACTTAGAGTGTTCCTTGCAATTCAAAAGCCTAGGCATCTTCAGTGTGGTCTTCAGTGGACACTCTGAACATACAGAATACGTCTGTGTCAGGAGCACGCTCAGTAGCATTGCCAGGGCACTTTCCTTCAAGCACACTACCTCTGCAAGCTGTTTTAGTGACATTAGTGACCTATTATAATTTATGCTGATAGAAAACATACATAAATACATTTTTAAAACCTCAGCCTTTACAAAAAGAAATCAGTTTATAAATTTGCGTCATAAAAATTAGTGTCGACACCATTGAGATTAAAATGGTAGTATATTAGTTGGTTTTTCCCAGAGTTGGGGTGGCAGGTGTCCCACTTTTCTATGTAGTGTAATCAGGAAATAAATCAAAGCACTAACTTGAGTCCCCAGGCAAATTGGTTAATAAGATTATACCATTTTGGATGTTGCTGCTGGGAATCAACCTAATGTCCTCTGGGTAAATGGAAGGTGCTCTTAACCCTGAGCCTTCGCTCCAGCTCCAGATATAGGATCTGTTTATAGTGGAAGGATGTTAGTGGGATTTTACCAGGGACCAATTAAATGACTCAGGGGTTAAAATACTGGCATAAACTTTGGTGAGAATTCAGTTCACATCAGACAAACATAAATCTGGAAGTGCAAATGGGAAATGTTCACACAGACATTGCTAATAAGGTTAATTGTACCAGAAAATACAAAGAATCCTTACTCATTTGGAGTAAGACTCCCAGCATTCATAAATATTTAGGCTATATGTCCTAACATTGACAAAAGCTCCAATGTTTTCAAGTTGACACCTTTGTGGCCTAGTAAAGGATCTTTTAGAACTTAAAGCCTGCACAAGCAAAGGCAAATATGATATTGATACATATCTGCTAAGAATTATTCCATAGTGGTTGTGCACTCTGCAGCCTGTGATAGGCAGACAGGATGACCAAAGCCCTGGGCACTTTCAAAGAGTCCCGTCCTTAAGAGTCCAGGCAGCTGCTGTTGGGGAAGCTGCATTTTTCAGAACTGCTCTGAGCACCTCTTCCAGATGAGTGTTTTAAAAATATGTATTTGTAAAAGGTCTACAATGAGACTTCAAATATCACATAGTTCACTTTGTCAGGCATATCGTGGACCCTTAAAGTCCTTCAGAATAAAATAAACTCTCATGTTCCATTAGAAAAAAATGGAGACATTCACGGTCAAAATTTTCTCTAAATTTCCCTAAATATTGGTACTGTGTGCAATTTCCTCACATACAGGTTTTGAGGAAGCCCTGGTCATCTGTCAGCTACTGGATATGCCAGAGAAAATTTACATGATAGTAGTAAATAGATTAAAATATATCCCACAAAATAATTTTTTCTATAACTTCCATTTAAATAAGTCTCTGAAAAGCTAAAGGAGGTTTTGTTTGTTTTTCAAAAGTGCTAATTATTACAAGTCTCT